AAGGTCACTATATTATCACCGACTTAATAAGTAATCAAAGGCATTCTTGTAGTCCAAAGGCAGTAAAAAGGTTTCTGTTTTTGGTGTGTGCCTGCTTAGGAATGACTCGAGTTGATTATAAGTTGTTCTTTGCAGTTTGTGGAACCTTAGCGCATGCTTTATGTTGAGGCTCTATGATATTGTTTATAGCACTTTGTTGTTAGAAACGCTGAGCCATACAAGATGTGACCAACTTAGTTAAAGGTCAAGTAATTGGGCGGTACTTGGCTGGATCTTAGGTGTTATTTAGATACAGGCGCCAGTCTATCAAAAACGTAGGATAAAGAAAAATTATTAGCATATTATGAATTCTGTTTAAATTAAGTCACTCGTTAGAATTTGCCAAAAACAATATTTGTCGTTAAGCACCACAAATATATAATTATTATTGTTTTTAGATTAAATTTAATAATCGGTTTAAAATATTCATTTTTGGAGTAATTGAGCACGTAATTTTACCCATGAAACCAGTAATTTGTTAAAACTGAAGGTTAATGTTGATTGGAGGTATATTTTTCATTTGTGTAATTACTTATTTTGGTTTGCAAAAGCTTTACATTAAATATAAATTTTACACCTGCCACAATTCATTATCTATTTATGTTTTTAACATTATGATTGAAACGTATTTCTAAAAAATATTTCTTGGACATTTAATTCTTGAAACAAACCAGTTCTATGTTATTAAACAAGAATTGGTAATATTTTTTAATTAAAAAAAGGACAAAATTATGAGATATGATTACCATGGACATTTTTTTATATTTTGGTAAATAAATTAATTTTTTGCTCTTTTTCTATACATGAATATTATATTAATGAAGCGTCAACAAATTATATAAATATAGTAACATATTATAATAGCTAATTATAATCTACGTAATATAATATTATAATATATATATATATATATATATTATATATATATATATATATATATATATTAACTAAACATAAATAACTCTATTATGTGATAATATATTTATTTATGTATGATAACAATACTTTGAATTTTTAAGTCATGATGCTTTTTGTAAATATTAAAAACAAATAGTGAATTACTAAAGATATTGATTATATGCCAAAAAGGCAGTATTTTTACTGCTTATTAGGTTTTTTGAGTTTATTTAAATTTTTACGCTTATTTATGGCTTTTTGTCTTTTTTAATGAAAATTTCACCTTGTTTTAATATGTTTTACATGCAATTCAACAATTTATTATTTTTTCTATACTGCTTATTTCCCGTAACCTAAATAAAATATGCAAACTATGTGACCTATGTGCATCTAAGAATGGTCCTAAAAGGAGACACAGGAAAACTTCAACAACACATCACCGGAACTTCAAGGGAATGCGTTGCATTTGACATTCTGAGACCGTTTCTAGTAACAACATCAGAAAACAAGTATTTGATAGTTGCTATGGACTATTTTTCCAAATGGCCAGAAATAGTTGCACTACCCAACCAAGAAACAGTCACAGTTGGTGAAGCTTTGCTTGAGAATATCGTTTACCGATTATAGGTAAGGTTCCACTTCTGTTTCATTCTGACCTGGGACGCTAATTTAAGTCGGAAGTTTGGAAGACCCTGATGGCTTCTCTGGAAATTAAGATTACCAAAATGACACCGCTTAATCCTCATTCCAAAGGCATAGTAGAAATGTCCTCGAGCGCGACTAGTACGCACTACGAGGCGCATCGCCCCGCCTCGAATTTTCTTAATGGTCCCTGACCATCGAAATCCCTATTCCTCGCTACATCAGCGGATATAAATATTGGCGATTTTTAGGTCAACCAAGTCAGTTCCTCACGGGCTCTCCGAGAGCTTAGTGCTGTCGAGGGTCTGCTTTCGTTTTAGCTCTTCCTATACTCTGTGGCTGAGATTTTATTCTACTACAATTTGGTGTTATTATTTCGACAACCCTTTGTCATACACTGAAAGTAGACTTGAGTAGAGGAGCTTGTGACGCAGTTTTCGAAGCCCTCTACAGAGCACCTGGAGGCTTTAGAAGGCGTATAGACCCTTTCCATTCCCCTCGTGGTGACAGAAAGACATAACCAGACCATCAACAACTAACTGTCTCTGTTTGTACATGAAAACCAGTGAGACTGGGACAAACTGGTGCCTCTGTTTCTGCTAGTCTACCGAGGTTTCAAACATGGAGCAACTGGTTACACTTCAGCAATGTTACTGAGTGGTCAAGAGATGAATCTTCTCGATCATTCTACATGGCAATCTACCAGAGGGAGAGGCGGACCAAGACACACTCCCTGAGTTTGTCAGCGACCTATAGGATCTACTGATTAAGATTCACGATTTCGCCATGAATAAGCTATTCACCAGTGACCGGATTTGTGGCGCACCCAGGGATGTTTTGGGGGTTAACCACCACCCCCCATCCCAGGGTATATAAAGTAAAAAATATATAAAAAATAGTAGAAAAATCTAACTTGACTTTCACACACAATACAAAAAATCCAAGACGTCTTTTGAATAATTAAATTACCACTTATTGTATAAATACACAATAATTAATTATATTTAGACGTAGATACCTAATATTAGACTTATGAAAAAGTAGACAGAACGAGTCTGTTGCGCCTACAGGACTCTATCTGCGGCGGCCTTTTGGACTATCACGGGTTATGTTCCTCTGCTCTCCTTATGTGTTAGAAGTAGAAAAGAGACATCTCTGTGAGAGAAGGGAGCATTTGACAACAGCTATGAAAAAAGAAGAAAGAAAAAGATCAATGGAAAGATGACAAGAGGAGTGGAACAACAAGAAAAATGTTGCTTAGTGGACCAAGATGCTGATCCCGAGCGTAAGGGACTGGGTAGATTGCCTGTTTTAGGGCATATCTTCATAGGTTCAGAAAGACAAGTACAGATAAATGCATATACTGCGAATATTTTGACATTGTTACTCACACAATGCTGGAGTGTAATAGATGTACAGTGGAGAAAAGCAGAATGTATAAAGAAATAGGTATGAACCATGTGACTGTAAAAGTGATTATCGTGAAGATGACGGGAAGTACGGAAGGATGGAATCGGGTGTACATGTGTACAATTACATCCGAGCAGTAATTAAAAAGAATGCAGAAGAAGAGAAACACCAACCAAGCCAATGACAGAGATTAGATCTAATTACTATTTTAGTGGGAATAAGCCGCAATTGAAGGTTAAATACCTTTATTAACGTTTAAATCTTTGATCTTTGATGCAGTATGTCACTCTTACTGTTTAATTTATATATTGAGGCAGCCCTCCAAAATTTGAAAAACCACTGCCAGGGAATGGGAATTCCCATAATAAATGACGTACTGTTCCCCTTGAACTTTGCAGATGACCAAGTCGCCCAGGCCCAAGATTCTTATGATCTAGAATTTATGATAAAGCGTTTATACAGATAATATTTAAAATGGGGGTTACAAGTCAGCATGAAAACAGAATATTTAGTTACCAATTCAGGTGCAAGGTTTGAAGTGTCGATAAATGATTACGTGGAAATCAAACAAGTGGAAAAATTTAAAGATTTAGGTGCACTCATTGCTAATAACGGCTTGGGAGAAACTGAAATTAAACACCGAATTATTCAGGGACGTAAAATAGGGATGTCTGAACTTATTATGGTGGGATCGCAACATTTCCAAAAGGGACAAAAAAAGAATAGGGCAAACCATGGTTGAATCAGTTCTTTGTTATGTCTCTGAAGTAAGGACAATTAATGCAGACCTGAAGAGAAGATTATTGGCAGTTGAAATTGATTATTTGAGAAGAAGTGTCAGAACATCAAGGCAGGAAAGGAAGACCATCGAATCTATAGGAAATAACATGAATGCTACAGAAACGGTCATTGACAGAATAGAAAGAAGAAGTTCAAAATGGATTAGATACCTATTGAGAATGCTTGATGAACGTTGGCCCCAAAAACTTTACAAATGGAAGAAGAAAAAGAGGTAGACCTTAACGCTCATGGAATGAAGGAATTAGAATTAGAGGAGCATGCCTTGTACCGGGAGGATTGGCGAAGGAGAACGGGAATACGGCGATAGCCGCCTCCAAAATGTACTATATTTACAAGTAGGATCAATGTCAAACGTCAATAAACTTATTTTAACCTTCAATTGTAGCTTATTCCCAATAAAATGGTAATAACTTTAAAATGCCACAAGAAAATAGCTTCAGAATAATAGATAAGATCTAGATAAGAGAAGGGAGTGTACCAAAAAATTTCGTCAGCCTTACAGCACCCATTCCACTTTTGGAGTATGATACGTGCGATAGTCAACTGCCCACAAGTAAGAGAGGGTGGTTTTAGTTGGTGAGCAGAATAATAGATACCTGAATCTTTGGCACTGCTATCTTTAGTACTTTAAATTAAACTAAAACCCAAATTTAAGGGACTCAAAATTAAGGTAGCATAAAAAATTTCAACACCCCCCCCCCCCAAATATCTTTTAGAAATATAAATAAATAGCAGATGTCCGGAATATCACATTCATCATAAAAAGAGACGTTAAGATGGACAGTTCCTATATCTGTCAAGATATAAAGAAAAATACCCTTCCAGAGAAAGCCTGTTAGCAATGTAGGTGGGAAATAAGAATAAGAGCAGGTCAAGATAGATGGAACGATAATATAGACAATATAGATAATATGATACAATAATGATTGGCGCCGCGAATTGACAACTTTTTGCAATAAACTTCAAATAAATTCCGCAAAATTATAATTTTGCGATAATATGATCACGATGAAACATTTTAAGAAATTTATAAATGTTACCAGAACTATTCGTCCGGAAATATTTTTATTTTTAACTCAGGATTCTCTAGTAAAATTATTTACATATACAAATTAAATTCTCTCTATATATATCACTATGTCCCGTGATTGGCATAAAATTATTAATATATTCCAAACAGACAATAATTGAATCACAAATGCAACACTTACGTTGTTGGTTCGTCGAGAAACAATATCGGTGGGTTACTAAGTAGCTCCAGTGCCACGGCCAATCGTTTCCTTTGTCCTCCAGATAATTTTGCTGTTAGCGTATGTTGGCATTCGTCTAAACCCAGCATTTTCAGAATTCCTGCAATCTAAGAGATAGCGAAATTTATTATTTAAATAAGTACTTAAAGTTTTTTAAATATCATCTAAAGAAGATAGTTAAAGTTAAATTCAAAAGAGAGAAAACCACCTAGTGAATGTTCCTTATACGAGTAGCTTAAGCGTTTAAAAATATTTTAAATTAGTTGAAAATGATAATTGAAAAAAATACTTGATCCTGCTTCATCAATTGGCTTCTAAGATAAGCATATTGCAATCTAAGAAGTTTTTAAATATGAAAAATGACATTTTGGAGACTTTGAATGGGAGGAGACAATTTAACATAAAGAAGGTTTGGTCCCCATAAGTTATATATATATATATATATATATATATATATTATATATATATATATATATATATATACCCCGGTATTTAGGCAGCAAATGCCCTTCCGGTAGGGATCTATGGAGGAGTATCACCGAGCCGCAAGCCCTTATCCCTTGCCGTACTGCTCCACCATAGGCCGATCAGACACCAGCATGTTCTAGTCTAAGCCGCAGATTTATTTAGAATTTTAAACTGCTGCGTTAGCCTTTTTGTTTTCTGTACACCAAGCTAGGGATCGAACTCACATCACTCGCAGTGAAGCGAATGAGAAACTGGCCGCCCAGTCCGCTTGGCTATCTGACCGATATAACAACTTTAATTTGAATAAAAAAAAAAGTAAATGAACTAGCTGGAGTAAGAAAGCGGAAAAACTCGAATATACCTACCGTTAAACGGAGAGAGAAATATTAGTATAGAAACAGAAAAAAAGACAGACAATACCTATATGAATAATCTCAGCGAAGATATAGGACCTTAAATGACTAAGACATATATTGTTTATACAATAAGATCGATAAAAACTAATTAATCTCTTGGTACAGACCAAATACGAAGCGAGCAAACCCCTATCTCAAATTGCACAATTTACAGCTTGTCTTCACAATCTTTTTGGTCTTGCCATCTTCCTGCAGTTGGTGAGGATCCACTATAACATTCTCTTTGGCCACCTTTGATCATTCATCCTTTCGACATGGCCATACTATTTTAACCTTTTGCATTCTATAGTTAGCTAAAGGTATCTGAGGAAGCTAAAGCCTTATCAAAAGTTTTTTTTTTTTCGTGGAATTAATGGCTTTGGCGAGAACCAATTAGCTAGACTATGTTAGATTGAATCATTAATTTGTGTAAAATGTTTTATAGTATTAAACCTGAGCATGATGTATTCATTTGTTTTGTTAGTATTATAAAGATTTTTTTTTATTTTTTTTTTAATTAATTTTTTTTTTTTTTTTTTAATTTTTTTTTTTATTTTTATTTATTTTTTTTTTAATTTTAATTGGTACATTCATTAATTTTTTTTCTTTTTTTTCGCTCTAGGGCGTCAATCCGGTTCATCCCCTCGGAGGTTTCAGCCCTTATCAAAAGTTATCAGCATAGAAGGTATGCATAAAATAGATTTCAGGTCGTAGTGTGAAAAGGCATATGAGTACCAATGACTCTTTTACATAAAAAATATTAGATACTTAAAAATTAGCACAACGTAGTCAAAAAAGATTTTTTCCAAATGGAGAAGACTGCTAAAATTAATATTATTACTGCAATCATCATCATTCTCAGCATATTTTATCGATTATGGTGTAGCCTCCGGATTATGGTGTAGTCTCGTTTCCTTATGTTAGTCCCATTTTTAATTTGGACGTCTTCTTGGTCTCTTGACGCCTCTTGGATACCGCAGTGTAATTCTAGTGAACCACCTATTGTCAGTTCTTCTCGTTAAATGTCCCACCCACTGCTATTTTAAAGATTTAGTTCTGGATGATGGATTACATCAATATTCTTGGTTTTCTGTCTACTCTATTTTAGTCTTTTTCGATCTATCTTTGTTATACCTAGCATGCATCGCTCCATTGATCTTTGAGTGACTTTGAGTTGCGATATTATCTCTTTCTTTAGTGTCCAAGTTTAGCGCAGCTGTATGCCATGATTGGTAGTATACACTGATCGAATGCATTTTTCTTCAGGTGGATTAGCGTCTTCGAGATGAATATAACTGCATTTCTAATAAAAGATGTCCCAGCTAGTTTCATTCTTCTGTTGATTTCTGGAAGTAAGAAGTCAGATTTATGTATTCATTGTCGCAGGTATATATATTTGTCTACTGTTTCAAGTGTAGTGTTGTTTATTATTACATCTTGTACATTTTCTAGTTCGTTTTACATGGTTTTTGTCAATTTGTGTTACTACAATATGTCCCACTAAGTTGGAAGATTAATATAGACAAGACGAAGGTAATGGTGGTTGGTAGAACACGAAATATGCAATTAAGTATAAGAATAAACGATAACAACATCCAAAAGGTCACCAAGTTTAGGTTTCTCGGTAGTTGGATAACTGAAGATACAGATTCACACATAGAGATACGTAGCAAGATTCAGAAAGCCAGAACAGCATTTACTAATATGAGAACCTTGCTAAGCAACAGTAGTCTTAACTTAACGCTTCAAAATCACTTTGTAAAATGTTACATTTACTCCATACTTCTATATTGTGTAGAAAACTGGAACGTAAAGGCCAATGTGATGAACTGATTGGAGGCCTTTGAAATGTGGGTGTTTAGAAAACTACTTAAAATTCCCTGGACAGATCACACAACAAATGTCGAAGTATTAAATTGAATGGGCAGAGAACGAGAATTGCTGCCAATAATAAAAAGAAGAAAAACTGCTTATCTGGGTCATATATTTCGAAATTCTAAGTACCAATTCTTAAAGCTTATTATGGAACGGAAGACAGAAGGAAAACGGGGCATCGGAAGAAAGAAATACTCATGGCTTAAAAACGTTAGGGATTGAACAAACCTTGATGCCCATGCACTCTTTAGAGTCACACAAGATCGAGAGGAGTATGCCAGAATTGTCGCCAACATCCACTAATTGGATAAGGCACCATAAGAAGCAGTTGGAACCATATGGAGAACTGTTTTATTATTAATTTTACGAAAAAAATTATTGTTTATAAAAAGTATTGCTTGCTCTAAAATCTAAAATACAATCATCAGATATTAAATTTTATTAATAGTATACATGGTATGTTAAAAAATATGAATTTCGTCCGGGAGTAAAGTACCTTTATATTTCACAATATCGAAAATTGTTATTAAGAAAAGTTGATTAAAACTAAAAACTAGGTTTAAATATATAATTACATACATTTAGGTACATTAAAAAAATCAGTAGCAGTATAAGAACAAAATAGAAAATGACTATAGAGACTACGAAGCAGAGGAGCAAGCTGGTTTTAGAGCTGGGCGATCCACAGTAGACTACCTGTACTCTATTACGCAAGTTATTGAGAAAAAAACAGCCGTCAATAAAGAAGTTCACCTGGTGTACGTAGACTTACAAAAACCTTAGGGTTGTACGTCAACCTTACAGCAAACCAACATTAAGCATGATAAGCAAGATGATAAGCAAGATAAAGCAGTCCAAAGTCTGTATAATAGAACGACTGCAAAAATTAAAACTGGATCAAAGATATCGAAAGGATTTAAGGTCACGAAAGGACTAAAGCAGGGTTGCTGTATTTCGCCTACCCTTTTCAAAATTTATCTGGAACAAGCACTCAAGCTGTGGAAAAGAAAATGTAATGGCATGGGAATCCCTCTCAATGACGAGACTACACTGCACACCTTATATTTCGGTGATGACCAAATACTGATTGCTCAGGATCATGACGACTTGTGTTACATGACTCGGAAGCTAATAGAAGAATATAACGAATGGGGTCTCGAAGTCAACATTAAGAAAACTGAAGCCATGTGTATTGGAGGGACAAAACAGTCCATTATATTAGACGATGGGGTAGAAATTAGAAACTGTGATGAATACAAGTACCTGGGTATGAAGATAACTCAAGATGGAACACTCGATGCTGCTATAAAAGACAGAAACATACAGGGTAGAAAAGCCATATCCATGATGAACGGGATTCTGTGGGACCAAACAATATTTAAAGCGACCAAACAACTCATATACACTACCATACTTAAAAGTGTAATCACATATGGCAGTGAAGTTTGGCCAATGAAACAAAGAACAGAGAAACTGTTACTAGTAATAGAAATGGACTTCTGGAGAAGAGCAGCAGGAAAATTAAGAAGAGATCGGATACCAAATGAGAGAATACGAGAAATGATGGGAGTCAAGCATACAATAGTTGATGACAGAAAAACAAAACAGTTAATATGGTACGGCCATGTACAGAGAATGCCAGATGACAGGATTCCAAAACAGATTTTGACGTGAACACCACAAGGAAGAAGGAAAAGAGGAAGACCGAGAAGAAGCTGGAGAGAGGGAATTAAAAAAGAGCTAGAGGAAAGAGAAATCCCTCCAGGCCTATGGCTGAATAGAGAAGAATGATGGTTAGGAGTCGGAAGGCGTCGGAGAACGCTGTAAACCGATAGTGTAATAGTAAAAAAATCAGTTTTGTTTTTTAATATTCTTTTTATTTTTAATAAACATTTTTATTATCTTGTGATCAAGACACACATAATAACCATATCTTTTTCAATTTTTTTTAACAATTTTACAATTTAAACACGTAATTAACGCATGTGCATTTATTTTGCAAATAGGAACATACATAACTAGCTTAAGCTAACACAACATTATCATTTTTCTTCTTTGTTGTGGTATGTAATTTAAAGCTTTCTTTGGCTATCTATCTTTATTCGTTTCAATTCTGTCTACACTGGAATATACAGTATTTGTCCTCCTTCTAATATCTTCATTCCTGATATGATCTTTTTTGGATACACCATACGCTCTCCTTACAACAACAGTATTACTAAAAATAAATAGATATTTATTTTTCACTTATTCTACTAATGCTTTGACATATCCATATTTTTGTTTACAATGTCAATGTAATTAACTGTAATTACGTGAAATGTAGGATGCACTGATAAACATATGATTTGTTTATATCAACATATGCC